ACCTGGGTGGGTGGGTCAGGCTCTCTTCTGTCCAGCAGCCTGGGGGCTTTGGGAGGAAATTTCCTTTCCAGGAGAATTCTGAAGGAATCTGCTCTTTTACTGTCATTACTGCTCTTTACTGTGCATGTAAAAGGAATCAATAACAACAAAATACTGTGTTCTAGCTGAAAATCACAATGGGATTATTGACAAACTGCCACCTTTTAATAAAACTATTTTAAGAATTTCTCTTTCCTGTTGGGACAGCGTAGGGGCTTAAAATAAGAAGTGGGGTATTTTGCTTTTAAGTTTTACCTTACTGTGGTGAAAATACATGTGATGTTGTTTCATGCACTTTGAAGAGTACGATGTAGTGCCATTTAGTACAGTCATATTGTGTGACCATCACCAAAAGGTTTTCACTGTCCCAAACCAAGTGGTGCACATGTAGGTCCCAGGAGCTCTTCACTCTCTCTCTGCCAGCCGTGGGGCAAGCACTGTTGTAAGGTGGAGTCATGCTGTATCTGTCCTTTTGTGCCTGGCTTGTTTCACTTAGCATGTCTTCAGTGTTATCTGCGTTGTGTACATCAGGGTGGCCTTCCCGTTTAGGGCTGAAAAATACTTCACTGAATATATATATCACATTTCTGCATTCATCCACCCATGGACATTTGAGTTGTTTTGACCTTTTGACTTACCATTACCTCTGTTCTTTTTGTCCATGACTTCCCTTTTTCTCCCATCCCTTCCCCATCAGACCAGAGTCTGCCATGTTCTTCACATCTGTTCGTGCTGGTCTCTCCTCCTAGAAAGGTCTACAGTATCCCAGTTCTACCTCCTCGTTGGGTACCTAATGCACACTGTGTATGTCAGCGTAGACTCTGCCTTCAGAAAGCTGGCCAGGAGTCTCTGGCTAGCAGAGCAAGAATGCTTTGGTTCTGCTGCATGCACACTCTCCTACCCAGGGGTTTCATCATCCTCAGAAAACGTTGGGCGTGAGCTAGGCATGGTGGTACGAGCCTCTAATCCTCGCACTCTGGGAGGCTGAGGAGAGAGGATCTCAAGTTTGAGCCAGCTTGGGCAGTTTAGCCACCTAGTGAGACCTTGTGTCAAAATTAAAAAAAACGGAAAATAGGAAAAGGGCTTGGGCTAGAACTCAGTGCCAAGGCCTTGAGTTCAGTCCCCAGTACTGTTAAAGAAAAGGGGAAGGTATTGGGACTGTCGCCCAGCCGATCTGTCTGCCTCTGCTGCTGTAGCTGTGCGCTCTTGGGGCAGGTCTATCTCTCATTCTGGCCATCGTCTCCGCTCACTGGTCTGGAAACTGGCACATGACAGGCACTTAAGAAATGTGTTGACCTGCAGAATGAACCAGAAGTCTCTGTCTGTACCCTCGTGGCTTAAATCAGAAGGCAGCCTTTTCCTGCTAGTAGATACTTGTGTTCAGAATGTAAGGCATCTATACAGAGGAGGCAGCATACTGTTTTTGACTTTCTGCACACGTAGCCTTTATTCATCGCACAAGTATTTTAATCCTCCCTAGCTGGTCCCTCCTTGACTGCAAAGCCAGTCATTGATTTAGATTTTTGTACTTGGACTTATTTACTTAAAACTATTTCTGACAGGCTGGGCTTTGTTTTTGCTGAAATTTCATGTCCCCAATATTTATAAACAAAGCACCTTTGCAGTAGGTTCTTATAAGGGATGACCTTCATCTCTTTACTCATCATGTAAAAGGTTCCCCGATTTGCCTTCTCTTCTCTGTCTTCGTCACTACCCTGTCTTGTTTTTAGTCATGTTATTTACTCAATGTAATGGGCTGCTCCCATTAAGACCTTCTCCACATGTCCCTGGTCTTCCCAGCCAGGCCTGTGCCTGACAGACTCCAGTTATTGAGCTGACACGGAGGCAACGTGGGGCCTTTACCTGAAGTGCTTCCACTGTTACTTCTATTTAATTTGAGTATCTTAACATCCAGTTCTCCAAAAGGATGCATTACAACCCTGAACGGACTTTATAAACCTTGCTCTTTAAAAAAATGTAATCGGGAAAAATTTCACTGCAAATATATTTATCTTCAAGGATTGTTTTGAGATGCCATTTTGAAGGTGCCATCTTTTTTTTCCATGTGCAAAAACCTACTTTCCTGCACACTGGAAAGTAGGGCCTTTGCTGGTGGCGGTGCACAGTGATGCACAGGTGGCGCAGAACGTTTTTCTTCTAGAGGGACCGGCGTGAGCAGAGGTGAAGGAAGCGTGAGAGTCGGATGCAGTGAGACGTGGCCGGAAGGGAACGGGAGGAGCTGGCAGCTTCCAGCATCTCAGGGGCACGTCTAGGGGTGCAAGGCAGGCAGCAGCAGGGCACCCTACTGCAGAGAAGGAGCCAAACAGTAGTACATTTTCCCTTTCTTTATGAATGCCTAAACCCATCCCGTGTCAGTCTCGTCTCCCTACAGAAGCTCACCTTTTCAAAGATAATCACAATTTTAGTATATTTAATGCAGTAGTCATTGTAAGCAGGCTGTGTTTTGGAGAAGTTGATTTGTGTTAGCAGTCATTGTCCTCACGCTCCACAGGCTTTGGCAGCTATGCTCGCTTCCCATTGGGCATTATGCTGGGTTCCCCAGTGTCTGTTGTGTCCCCCTGCCTTGTTGAGCAGCAGTGGTGGGGTTTCGGGGTTGACGTTAGCTGGAAGTCAGTTGGTGTGAGGCTCAGTGTGTCTTCACAGCCAGGGTTTTAGTTTAGTAGTGGGCGTGTGATTCCCTCCTGGCCAGCGAGGAAAGCAGAGAATTTGGAGGAGGCTTGAGGAAAGGAGAACTACAGCCAATGAAGTTCTCTGTACTGCAAGAAGAAAACCGAGGGCTTCTGGCTCCAGGTACTGCAGGGCGACCCAGGTGTAGGGTGAAGATGGTACCATGGATGCAGCATAGAGAGAGGAAAAGAAAATCAAGGTCTTTTGTGACACTGCTGAGCTATAAAATTAGTGAACTCTGCACTTAAACCATGACTAAGTGTCCTGTGGTAGAAGCTGATGTGTTTCCTTATTATTTAACTCAGTTTGTATTTGTTTATCTTTAATTGAAATTGTGTATATCCTAAATGATCCACAATCTTTATGACCTTCTGTAGTGTGACCTTTTGGACCATAACCCTTTTGAGTTTCATATCGTTATCTAACAAGTGACTATAATTATGTCTCACAGAGTTTTTAATGTAGGTTATTTGAGATTTTGAACAAAGCCTACAGGAGGACATGTGGACTAATACATGTTAAGTGCTTACCAGGTATCAAGAAATAGACAGGTGTTTGGTTTTAGGCAGTTTAGAGACTAGGAGAAGAAAAATTCTTAACTCATGTTTTTATGGTAGAAATAAGATCACCTGCATGTGGATATCTGTACAATTCATTTTTTATATCATATTTGTTGGGATTTTTTAGACGTATTTGTTGGATAATTACTATTGACGAAGCAAACACTTTTTGTAGGAAAACAGAAGTCCAACTTTGGGCATCTTAAGTTTGAGGCATCTGATTTGCATTGAAATTGAGATGTTGAGCTGAAAGTTTACTTATGACTGATTCTTATCAGAGGTCTGTCTTAGCAGGAACTGAAATTTGAGTGTTACTGGTGTGTTGACTGTATCAAAAGCCGTGGGATTAGATGGTACCTGTTAAAGACAAGTGGAGAATGCAAAGAAAACACCTCTCCTCAATTTCTGGGAAGCCTATTCCCATATAAACTTTCCTATAAAATATGTTTTTTATAAAAACACAGGCAAAGGAGAAGCAAGTGTGGCCTGGGAGGGGTGTGGAGTAAAGGGCAAACTTTCAGAGTTGCAGCAGTAGGCTGGGGAAGGGTGCTGCGAGGGGGAAGCTGTCGCTCAGTGAGTTGGGCTCCTGAGGAGGTCGGGGAGCAGTCAGGGATCTGACCTTATATCCTGGGTCTAGAGGAAAGGGGCTGAGAATGGGAGTTTAAAGTTAAAGGGACAGAGGTCGCAGACGCGACAGTTCACTGTCAGTGACCTCAGAAGACATACATCTCCCGCGTGCGCACACACGCTCACAGGCGTTGTCTAGGTGTGATGTGTGGTTCTCAACACTCACTGCTCCTTCTTCGATATATAGGAGGAGTACATGTTTGGCAGATAAATACCCTGGAAAATACTTTAGATTTTTTTGTTTGTTTTTGATGGTACTGGGGGCCTTTGCACTAAGTTATATCTCTAACTCTTTTTATTTTATTTTTTATTTTGAGACAGGGTCTCATGAAGTCACTGAGTTGCCCAGGCTGGGCCCCAACTGTCAGTCTTCCTGCCTCAGCCTCCCACAGGGCTGCGCTCACAGGCATACATACCATGTCCCACTTGAGCGTTGAACATTATATGTAGGCTACTCATGTTAGAGGATATGGGGAAAGTAAGATAAAAATGTCGAAGCCCCTGGGATTGACTCCCTTGAGTCTTCCACTCTGGTTTTCCTTTCTCGTCCCTGTGGCGCTGATAACTGATTTAAAAGCACTGTTCTTCTGTCTGCCTTTGCTGTGAGGTTGTACGTTCTCTGAAGGTAGCACCTGTGCTAGGTAAGTGCACGATTTGCAGGTGTACTCCTGCGGTGGCACATAGGCAGTGGGCAGTGAGCACTGGTTGGATGGGTGCAAGGTGGTGGGGCGAGTGGAGTTTGAGGAGTGGAGGCGATGCAGAGGGTCAGGGAGCGACAGGCATCAGTGAAGCCACAGGGATTGAATGTGTGGAGGCAGGAGCAGAGCTGCTGGATGAGGTGTTCTTGTCTGGAGATTAATGACTGACTCAGAGTCAAACAACTTCCTGGATGTTTGCGTAGATCGTTCCCCAGGCTAGGGGTTTCCCACTCTCCCGTGCCCCGCCTCGCCATCCTGCCTCCCGTGGGCACACTCCCTCTCCTTTCACAGAGGCCTGTTCTTCCACATGGGCCTGCTGAGGTGTTTTCTGTTACCGACTGTCTTTCTAGGGTTTGCTTTCTGAGTTCTGTGTGCTCCTCTCTCCCAGCTCTCCACTGCGGTCTGAGTCCACGGGGCATCGACCACCCTGCCCGTGCTGAAGGGATTCAACTACAAATTGAAGGAGAAGGTGTGGACTCTCAATCCATTAAGAACAAAAGTTTCCAGAAGGTGCCAGATCAAAAAGGAACCCCCAGGCGACTGCAGGGCGAGGCGGAGACGGCGAAGGTGGGTGATGAACCTGTTAGTCAAGGCGGAGGCCGCACGGGGTTGTGGTCCCGCCTCAGGGAACCGATGGTGCTCTCACTCATCCTGCTGTATCGTCTTTACGCTAATTAATAATAGGTGAAAAATGGGCTGCCTTCCCTTTGGATGAGATTGAAGCACATTTGTGGCCAAGCTCATAGCGTGAACCTCTGAGCTGTGGGATACAGGCATAGAACTAAAAGACTTACAATGACAGGCAAGTCCTGTAACTCAGGGTCTGAGTTGCACAGACTTCATCTATAGAATAGGAATCGTAAAAGTATCATACCACCCACTTAACCAGGCTAAGCAGGTCACAGAATTTTGTGCTCGAGGAAGTGGACATTTTGTGAAATCTTGAGTGTGAAATACTTCTGCTGACAGATACTGTTAATTATAATAATTAACACTTTATGATATCTACAATTGGTACTGTTTGGAAGACTCTTGACATACTGGCTTATTGTGTCCCTGTAACCAGCCTAAGAGGTGGACAGTAATACACAAGGCCTTAGTTAATGGAAGCTAAAACTGCTGGATTTCCCTGTAGGATACTTAGTCCTTTTTAATGATGACAAAATATATCTTAGCAAAATACACCAAAATGTGGGTTTCTGGATTTCTGCTGGTAGTGATTCTTTGGAGGACTGCTGCATTTAAGGGCTGTGATAGAACTGATACCAAGGGGTTTTTCTCAGAAATCAGTGAGGGTCTCAGGCATGGTGCTGAGGATGTCCGTTTTAGTTTGTCTGTTAGAAATTGAGGGAGTTAATCTTCATGTGGCCTTTTGTTTCTCCCTTTGTGTTTCCCTGTAAGAATTTCCCTTCAGATGTTTGCTGAATGAGTAAATGTGTGAGACCCTCTAAAAGCAAGCGTAAGCACCCAATGGAAACCTCATTTCGGAAGGGCACTTTGCTGTTGTCAATTGATCCGTCATCTTCTTCCCCGAATAATGGCTCCCAGATTAAAGCGTGAATCTTTTTTGCTTTATCTACAGTTTGACTAATCACCATTATTGCTTCCCTGTTGTAGCTTAATTAAGATCTTGTGACATTCACTGTGTGTTGCGTGTGGGGAATTTGCAAGGAAGATACTGCAGGTCCTTTGTTCCAGACATTTTAGCGGAGAGAAATCGTGTCTTGGAGGAAGCTGGTTGGTGACTGTTGACTTTTCGTTTGGGAGCATTGTTGGAAATTGGTGGCCCACGCTGAGACGTCCAGGCATCTGGACAGAGGCAGGAAAAAAATGTCCCCAGGTTTTCTTTTACTAGGAAAATAGAGTTTGCCTGAGTCGGATCTTTTCCAAATATGCTTAAAATATTAAAAACCAGAGTGGGAAAATAAACAAATGAATTATTGATATTAATCTGATTTTAATTCTACTTTAAACATTTCTGGATTATATCATTTTTATTTGTAAAAATTTATACTATAAAACTTGGACTCGGATATGATATGGTTTTATTACTTTGGATTGTTTTGAACATGATTGCATAGAAAAATGCTGAATTTTTGTTTCCTAGCCCTTTGTCTTGATCGGCAGGGTCCTTTCCAGTTGCTTGGCTGGTACCGTCTGTCACTGATAATGTACAAGCCTATCATGGGTCTTTCCTCAGGAATAGACCACGTGGTGGAAAGCAGATTGGGTCTGTCCACACTGTGTACAGTAAAGCCCCCAACAACGAAGTCAGAAAGAGATTGTGGGGGTTGTCACATTGATGTCCTATTTAACAGTGAACAGACCAGAACCTTTAGTAAAGCTTAGAGAAAGTATTTGCCTGTTTTTTCAGGAAGAACTAGATGGTCGCAGTTGTTGCCAGGGCAGACAGAAGTACCCTATGTTAGTGACTGCAGTGTCTCCTCCCACCCTGCAGGTTGCCTTCCCTAGACAACGTGAATTTGCTTTCTTCCTGCACAGACACACTTATACTTTCTCTGGATGGAAGTGCATGCATTTAAAACCATTCAGTAATGTAAATTGTTATAGCTTTTCTGGAGAACAGTTTGCTACTAGTTATTAAAATTCTGAATGTGTACAATTTCAGTTCAGTGAATCCCTCTCTAGGAAGTCGTCCCAAGGAAATTATCAGATATACAAAGATGGCTCTAGAAAAGTGGTTACTAGAGCACTGATTATAATAAGAACACATTGAAAGTAGCCCTCCTGTCCACTCGTAGGACACTGGCTCAAGAAGTAGCATGTATTCATGCGGTGGAATAGAGCTTTTCCTTTAGAGTACAAGATACCTGCATGTATTCATCAGGGGAAACGTACGGAGTAGTATTTTAATGGGGAGGGCAGCAGAGGGGCAGGGTACCACATTGTGTTATGTTTCCATTGATGTAAAAACATCCTTCTATGTGTCTGTGACATTGACTTTATACCTCCAGCAGCAGTTTATATCTGGAGTTGAGATTATGGGGGAAACTTACACTTCCAGCATTTCTGTTTTATTTGGATTTTTAAAGATCCGCATTCTTTCAGTTCTATCTAATTTAAAGCCCTTTTCAGCTTTCCCTGTTTACTTTATTAGCTCAGTTATGGCTTTTCTTGTTTGCTGGGTGGGTATCCTGCCTTTCAGGGTGCAGAATTTCTTCCTGTAGCTTCTCATCCTTGCTGTTAAGCTCATTTGCCACAGTAGGGAGCTGCCATGGAGTCTTTGCCGCCCTGTGGCCGTCATGTAATGAGGTACTTTGCCATTTGTCTCCGCTTGAACTGGAGGATTTGGTGGCTTTGATCAGGTGTCGCCTTAATGTCTCAACTTGGAGCTGTTGTTTCCTTTCAACTGGTTATGCAGATCAACCTGGCTCCAGTTGCTTTGGTTCTTGGGTTTTGCCACTTTGATTCCAACCATGTTGTGCTTTGCACTTCACCTGTTCCAGGTTCCCTTGTCCATGGGGAGTTTTATGCCCCCTCTCTGCTGTGATTTTCTGACAACTAGAGATTTCTCTTCCTTGATTTTAATCTTGTCTTTATATGAATTTTGGCTTTGTATAAATATATTTTCTAGGATTTTTGTAGCAGAGCCTGCGTGGGAATTATCTAAATCTGAAATCTGAAAAACCTGAGTGGGCTTAATTGACCATAATGACTCTGAAATTTGTATTGCTTTCACAATTTAAAAAATTACACACATACACACACCCTTATATACATGTTTATATCCATTCTAGGAGAAAGAATTCTGGTTTCTCTTAGAAAGTGATTCAGAGACCACTGGTCTCCGCTGCACCAGAAACTCAGAATCCTAATTCTGAAGGAAGTTATTTGCCAGGAGTTGCCCACAGCTCTTACTGACCAAAGAAGAACCAATAGAGTGCCCAGCTCTACTTAGGATTTATTACTGGGCAGCCTTTAGCTTACTTGAAAAAATGAATCCAGTTGAAATGTGAATCTGCGAAAGATAAATGCCACCCTCGGTGCTGAATGCCATGGGTGTTTGGAAAGTCATACAGAGAGTATGCGGTGGTACCAGCAGCTGTGGTTAGAAGTTCAAGCTGCAGAAACTATGCTTGCTTAGCTTTACAGGTCAGTACAAGGCAAGATACAGTGGACATGGCATTTTTATCTCACAGGAGCCCAGATGTTATCCAAGGGCACAACTTCTTTTGCTCCTTCACCCCGTGGGGCCTGTACAGCTGCCACACATGTGGCATGGATATCTGAAAACAGAGAAGGTACAGCATTCGTCCCGCCAATTGTTCACACCATTCTAGTCTTCTTCAAGTCATAGCTCCTGCAGACCAGGTGTAGTTCCACATAACAGTTCACAAAAAAAGTGACCCTGTGGGAGACAGGCCCTCTCCGGAGGGCCCAGCCCTGAGGTTGGTTGTCCTGACCTCTCTGGGAGTAAAGGGTGAGACTGCAAGGGAGGGTTTCAGCACGAGCAGAGTCTGTCCTGTGGTGTGAAGTGTGGGTCAAATTGATACATGCGAATTCATATGCATCCGTTCTTCCTCTAAGCATGGAAGGCATCCTGAGCAATGAGGCCTGAGCATCTCGGCCCAGCGTGTGGCAGTAGAGGTGGTATCTTACAGTCAGGATTTGTGTTGTGGAAATTAAGCCTGGAGCCCTTGGCTGGACCTAGCTGTGTGGGGTTTGAATGCCAAGGTGAAAAGCATGAACTTACTTTCTATTGGCATTGGCCAGTATGGTAGCCATTGGCCACATGTGCCTATTTAAATTGATTAAAATTGAATCAAATTTAAAAATCATTTCTATGCCAGTGCCAGACACATTTTAGGCATTGAGTCACCATATATATCTAGGACATGTCTGGGACAGGATAAACATGAACATCGTGGCAGAAAGTTCTGTTGGTCAGTGCCTATCTAACCCGGAGAAACTTCTGGAGTTCTTTGGGTGTCGGAATAAGATGAAAGATGAAGTTGTGTTGATACTTTTTCTGACCCTTGTCCTTGGTCCTGGCTGGACATGTGCTTCAGTCATAAAAAGCAGAAGTTGTTAAAATAATCAGGAGTCTGTTTAGAAAGTAGTGTCCTAAATGCTTTGATGGTTGGAATCAGGGTTTCCATGGCAACTCCGGCTGTGGAATAATATTAGCCCATCAGCAGGCAGTATCCTGGCTGCTTCCCATTTGGGAATTCTGGGGTATATCATTGAAAGTAACCTAAACACGGCATTAGGAAATTGAGATTCTTGATTTCCAGAACTGATTTTTCTAGAGGCTTCTAAGGAAACTCCATGTTGCCATATTTTTTATACTTTTTCAACTTAAGTTTTCATGAAGCTGATAATCTTTATGTTTCGCTGCCATCATGCTAGCTCCAGGAGTCAGAGCTCTTTAAATGTCCCTCACATTTGCATTTCTGCCTCATCCCTTTCATTTCTAAAATCTGTATCTCCATTTTGTAGCTGAGAAACCCAAGCATTGAAATGACTCTCCCAAACTTAGTTTCTGGCTCATAACTGCAGGAAGATGAAACTGAAATCTGACAACTCTGAATTCAGGATGTTTTATT